GGAAAAGTACTCAATAAAAACTAATTTCATTACAGAGAGTTTTGGAAAACTCTCAACATCGGTTATTAGATTCTGAAATCAGAAATAGGGTGTTCTTTTTAAAAAAATTAATGTGACTTTGACCTAACCTTGGCGACGCCACCTAAAGTCAAACTGATAAAATCAGTGTATAGATCATTTAAAACCGTACAACTTTTGTAGGAAACATTTCTTTCGGAAATGCTTAATTTTCGAGATATTTCATCGGAAATTTTTACTCATCCTGTATAGATATATACAATATATTGTATATATGTATATATGTATATATTTTCCGAGTTTTATAAATAAAAAAGTGCTAAATATATTATCACAACTTTCCTACATTATAAAATGATTTAATAGTGTAAACAAGTAGGAGAAATAGCTTACATGACTAATTGGTATTGTTTGCCGCATAAAACGGCTCGAGGTCTAGTCTTAATTATCTCCCGATCGAGTAGTGTAATCAAATTAACTGCAGGGAAACTATTTCATCTTTCCATCGCAACTTTTGGTGATGTGAGTGCACGTTAATGTAAGTATATTATGTTTTTGCAGTCAAATACATTTCCAAAATGTTTTAGGTAATGAGAACCTCCATGATATATCCAAACATGCTCCGAACCATGACAGGTTCTTAAATAATGAGATTTATACCATTTTGTACAAAGCGTTAGAAAATTTTCTAGTTACCATTATAATTTCATATTATATTTGAATAATTATATGTATTACTAATAAAATACAAGACATCTATTATCTATATCACTTTTAAATCCTAAAAACAAGATATAAAAATTATTATTAAAAAATTAATATTTCTTTAAATAATTATTTTTATTTTTTAACTCTAAACAAAATAAAGGAAAATGAAATAGAATGAAGGATTATATAAATTTTTTGATAAAATGAAAAAATTATGAAAAGAATGACAGATTTTTCTATTATATATTACATTTGAAAGTAATATAAAACAAATAACAGTGATTTAGAAACTGGATCATAAACTATTTCAATAAGAAATAGATACGTTTGTAGAAAAATTAATAACATAAAACGAGATTTTATTCAAAATGTAAAATTGTATTATTGAATATAAATGTTAGTCTTACTGAACTGTTTCATGTGTGTGTATATGTGTGTACACACACACTCACACACACACACACACACACACACACATGTACATATTTATTTATTTATTTTTATGCGGAAAATATCAATTTTCATTTCTAGTCTTCTTGGCTTTTTGCAGAGACTATATCTATATATACTTCTTTAATGCTTTCTTATTATATGTTATAATATACATATATATGAGAGTTTCCATTTTAAATGCCTTTCATTCATTTATATTGAGCATTATGCCTAAAATTTTTTTGAAGTATTAATATATCATGTTTTAATTACTTTACCTAGTAAATTTCAAGCGATATAAGATGACGAAAAATAAAAATTCGTTGTCACTTTCGGAAAAGTATCTTCATATTCCTTACAGAACGCAGTCTTCTGTCAAACTGACAAATATGCTTCGTGTGAGGAATGATTATCGATTGGACACGCGTGCGCTCTTCTCAACGCTACCGACGTGTTTTACAGCGCTGATTTTCCTAAACGTTGGCGCAAGCGTATTTTCGGATAAGTCTCTAGATACGGTTCTATACGATTATTGCAGTAATACATAGGTCGCTTTTGTGAAACGATCATGAGCGATCTGAAACACATCCTAATAAATTTCGAAAATGTCAATGACTACAGTATACAATTTAATCGATGGTTTCTTATATCGCTTGGTGCCTGGCCGCAAAGAAGCGCGAGCAAAATCAAACAAATTGTGGTGTCAATGCAAATCTTCATTTTTTCAACCGTGGTGGCAGTCATTATGATACCATGCACATTATACATATGCTTTGAAAAAGAAAAATTTGGTATTAGAATAAATGCTATTGTTCCATTGATGCACAGAATCATGGGATCTATAAATTATTGGCAATTACTTACGCATAACAAAGATATTCAACATTGCATACTGCATATGGAGACGGACTGGAAACTCATTCATAAAATGGACGACCGCGAAGTTATGTTGCGATATGCCAAAATTGGCCGTTTCATAGCCAAATTTTGCGCAATATTTATGCACAGTAGTGCGATCTTTTTCACCGCGGTCAAAGCAGTGAAAACTACGACCATTATTGTCGGTAATGAAACCTTTAAGATGTATCCGATGACATGTCCACCGTACAGCAAAATCGTTGACGCGAGATTCAGCCCTACGAACGAGATCCTGCTGAGTACGCAATTGTTGTCGACACTTATAGTGAGCTCCTCTACAGTAGCTATATGCAGTCTTGCCGCCGTTTTCGCGATGCACGCCTGCGGTCAACTGAACGTATTGCATACATGGCTAAAAGAACTTGCTGAGGAGAAGACATATCATTCAGCAGAAAAAAAACTTGCTGTTATTGTGGAACATCACTGGAGAGTTCTCAGGTATTTTGTTTAAAAGGGAACATAACACGGAAAGAATTTTCTCTTAAAATTTACCTTAAAAATATAATAGTTATAGTACAATATAATATTTTAAAGATTTTCATTATGCACTGCAGTAAAAATTTATTTTATATTTTATTGTAATTTTATTAGTGAATGAGATAGATTTACATAAAATTCTTTGAAATATAATGTTGTCCTATGACTATCATATTTTCAGGATAAACTCTAAGAAAAAATTCTCTCCGTGAATCAAGTGTCGTTCAGTTTTAATAAGCTTTGATTATATTAAAATATAGAGACAAAAATAAGATTTTCTAATAATGATGTACCTTATAATAATGATAAAAAATTCTTTATAAAAAACTTTATTTATTAAAAAAATTAAAAAATAGTTATTAAAAATATGAAGTACTCTTAAAATCATTCAACTTTTATTTAAAATTTGTTTATATTTTGAACTGCTTAATATTCATTCAGAAAGAAAAAAAAAATTTTTTTTAAGATAAAGTTCTATTCCTTTAACGTGCGAAAATGAATTTATTAAAAAATACGCATCTTTTATTTTTGTATTTTAACATAAACAACAAAGAAGATAACAAAACTTAAAATCGGAAGGAGTACACTTGATTGTGTTTCTTTGTTAGATCACTTAGAGCTTAAATATTGATTACAATTTATGGTATAAATTTCTTTTCATTAAGTGTTAACTTTAATCGAAAATATTTATTCCGAAATTTCCTTAACTAGATTTTCAGATCCAGTGTACTTTAAATTAATGTATTTTTTTTAACTTTAAAAGTTAACATAATTGTATTTATTTTTCATTTTAAAAGTCAAAATTCGAGGAAAAAATTATGTAACTTAAGCTTATGTAAAGTTGTAAAAAATATTTGTTATAAACAATTTTCATAAATTACAATTTGTTTATAAACAATGTAATTGAAGAAAAAAGATCCAAAAGTTATTGAATACTGATTTAAAGTGGATTTTACGAAAGAAAATATCCAACTTGAATATATTTTAACTACATAGATATGTTTCAGCTTCGTTGTACAAATAGAGAATATTATGCATAAAGCCTGTTTAGGAGAATTAATGGGATGCACGCTGAGCATGTGTTTACTTGGATATTACTCTGTTATGGTACGCTAAAAACAAATTAAATTTCTTTGCATATTACAAATGATGTAATTGAGATGCTGTAAAAACAGATTAATCTTATTTTTCTACAGTAAATAAAACGATCAATTGATTTTACAGAACTGGGCTAATTTCGATGCAGTAAAAGTATTTTCATATATGAGTGTATATATATCATATACATTCAATATATTTATATTTTGTTACATCGGTGAAGTTCTCACGGAACAGGTAATATCTCAAAATCAAAAAGATTTCTTAGACATTTGAAACTTTCCTCATTTTAATTGTATACAAAATATAATATAATGTTATCTAATTATATAAATATAAAAATCTTTAATATTTGATTATTTACATTTTATTATCATATTTATGAAAAAAATAATCTAATTGTGTTCACACATATCTAAATTATTCTTTAATATCTCTTTATCATCATTGCTAGATATTTGGACACTTCAAAAATTTTGCGAATACTTTTATTTATTTATTTATTTATTATAGTGCAAAAATATCGGGGAAATAGCATATATGACCAATTGGTATAAACTGCATCACAAAACAGCACTTAAACTCACTTTGATACTCATGCAATCGAGTTATGTCATTAAAATAACAGCAGGAAAAATATTTCGGTTATCCATAGCAACATTTGGCGATGTAAGTAATATATTATAGAACATTTATTAATAACATTAAAATTTTTATGTAATTTATTTTCTTGTTATGCATGTATTGTTATAATTATTCTACGTAATGATTTGACTATTTATTTTTACATATGCCGTATCAAAGCAAATATTAACAATATAATCAACAGTTGTACATTTATTATTAACAAAAATGAGAAATCCTGTTATTACAGATAATAAAAACTTCCACGGCATATTTAAATTTTTTGAGAACAATGACTGTAGAAAAATAACAAGTTATAAGACACACACATAAATTATTTTCTAGATAGAAATGTAAAATAAACTAATAATTATGATATAACAGGGTTTTCTGTGATTCTACGGTTCTTAAAGGCAAAAATGATATCCTTAAAGATTCTCCTGAAACTAAAGAAGTAAAAACTCAATACCTTACAAAACTTATATGCATAGCCATAAAAGTACTTTCATATTCCTATTCAAATGCGACCTTTTGCGAAACTGACAAGACAAAACACCTGTTAGGAAAAAAATCGATTTGAAACGCACGCGATACTCTCAATAAAAAAGTACCAATGTAAGCGTTCATCAAACTTTAGAAGTTGGCGCACGCGCTTATTCAAATAGAATCCTTGCTAGAACCATTGTCCACCCTGGCAGTGCGCCAAGCTAGTTCACGAAGCGAGCATGACGAATTGGAAACGTGACTTGAAAAACGTTGATTTCAAGTACATTAACAATTATAGTCTGCAAATTAACCGATGGTGCCTAAAACCGATAGGTGCTTGGCCCATAACAAGCACGTCGAGTACATTAGAGAAAATTGTCGCGATAGTACTGATCATCTTTTGTTCACTTACAATAGCAATCGTTACGGTGCCATGTATACTGTACATAATATTGGAGGATCAGACTATCATGGCAAAGATAGGCGTCTTTGGGCCATTGTTTTATAGGATTATGGGTTCGATAAGCTATTGGACATTGCTCAAGCGCAGCCACGACATTCACAATTGCATACAGCACATGGAGATAGATTGGCAGTTTATACAAACAATCGGAGATCGTAAAACGATGCTGCAATACGCTAAGTTCGGACGTTTTCTCGCCGGAATTAGTGCGGCGATCACGCAGGGCGGTCAGCTGCTCTTCGGCACCGCAAAAGCAATAAAAACTACGACCATCATGATCGGCAACGAGACTTTTAAAACGCGCCCAATGACATGTCCAACATACAGTAAGATTCTCGATACGAGATTCAGCCCTATAAACGAAATCATGCTGATTATACAATTCGTGTCGGCATTTGTAGTAAGTTCCGCAATAGTGAGTGTTTGCAGTCTCGCCGGAGTTTTCGCGATGCATGCCTGCGGCCAACTCAACGTATTGTATGCGTGGTTGAACAAACTGGTAATTGAATACGAAGAGAAGGGAAATCAATCAGTCGAACAAAAATTGGCTGCTATTGTGGAGCATCATTTGAGAGCATTAAGGTACTATTTTTCTTAAGGAACTATATTTCTTGGATGTATGATACTTTGCTTTAACAAATATTGGATCGTCCGGAAAGTCCGTGTGTATTTTCCGCACGGACTTTCCGGACAACCTTGGGTTATCCGGAAAGGTCCGTGCGGAAAATACGCACGAACTTTCTGGACGACCCAATATAACACAATTTTAAAATAGATATTGATTTTTTCTCTACAAACATTTCATAATAAATAAAATAAATATTATCATTAATACGATGTATGTAAATATATGTTCGACAAATTTTTGCAAGAAAATTTTGTTAATGAAGAGTTTTCACTTAAACATTCCGCAATTATACAAATGTATTACAGTTTTATAGCACGTGTGGAAAGTATTATGCATAAAGTTTGTCTTGCAATATTGATGGGCTGCACGCTAAATATGTGTTTATTTGGATATTATTCGATTATGGTATGATTAAAAGAAATATATTATTAAAAATATACACGCTATTTTCATACATTTCTTTAATTATAAAGAATCAAATGCAATTATTAATAGTATAATGTATGTGTGTGTGATATATAGTAATAATAATAGAATTGTTAAATTTTTGTATAGTAATAATAATAGAGTTGTAAATTTTATTATTTATGATAAACTTGTAAAATTAATTTTTCAGAATTGGGGTGCTTTCGATGCAGCAAAAATATTGTCATATATTACTTTATATACTTCAATGGGGTTTAATATATTTATTTTTTGCTATATCGGCGAGATTTTGACACAGCAAGTAATACAAAGCTTCAATACCTTTCACTTTAATACCTTTCAAGATTAAAATAATTTTTTTAGAAATACGAAATCTATTCAAATCCGAATAGAGTATTAAATATATAAAATATAGAAACAAAATAATTATATTTATATAATAGCTGTTTTTTATACTTTCTGCAGAAAGGTATTTAAATTTATAATAAATTAAAAAATATTTATATTTT